GGGCACCTTAAGGGTTTAGGGTTTAGGGTTTAGGTTATTACAACTATAGTTATAATATACCCCAAAAAACCCCATGCTAATTATAAGAAGGCCCCTACATTACTTCTAGTGTTTTTCAGTGGGTTGGCAGAACTCGTAAACTTCTAGTGTTTACGGTTTCGGGTCTCTTGATAAACAGGGTCACCTTGGCCCTATGCCCTCCCAAACGGTTTAGGGTTTAGGGTTTAGGGTTTAGGGTTTAGCGTTTAGACTGGACCTCAGTTTATCATCTTACGGGTGAGGGAAGCCATATTTTTTATATATGTACATATAATGTATATTTATAGACAATTGTGCACACGAGCATGCACTTCAGCATACATGCTCCTACACGCATGCATACATACCATGCAACATGTAGCCGTGAATAGATAGAGAGAGAGAGAGAGCACGAGATGTATGTCCACACATGTCATACAAAGGGTTAACACCTGAAAAACCTGTAGCTAGTTCATGGTTGGGGTAGTATTAAAAATTTTACATTTATATTCCTTATTGGGTTTAAGTACCCTTAAAAATGTAAAATGTTACCCAACTATGACAAAGGTAAGCCTTACGCAAACCCTGATGCCCGCGAAACTGGGCTTTGAAGTAACCAGGGAGAAAAAAGTATAGACTTTCATTTCATAATGGTTCCTTTAAGGAACAGGTCACCAAAAAAAGTATTAAAGTAGGGTACTCCAGAGCCCAGGAAACCAACCACGGGATTTGTGTGCAGCACACCGCATCTCAAGCAAGACCGAGGCCAAGACCAATGTTCCTTGGTGGGCAATGCACGGTTCAGGGCTCTAGGGTTGAAGGATGTAGGGTTTAGGGTTTAGGGTTTAGGGTTTAGGGTTTATGGCTTTTAGAACATGTCAGGGTTTAGTTTTAGGGTTAGGGCCAAGCTTTCTCCTGCATGCACGACAATGCTGTTGCTTCGCGTGCAAGCAACTTGAATCGGAGATGTGTCGCAAAGTGCAGACCAGCGCGGCTGTTCGCTAGCACTAGGGGTTTCATCTAAGGGTCTATATTAGGGCTCGCTGTTTCTGAACATTTCCGGTGCATGACAGGTTGCTATTGAGGCTCCCCGTTTCTGAAAAAATCCGGTGCATGCAGGTTGCGTCATGCAAGAGCCAATGAACACCTCATCGATTCCGGCGGTTCCAATCTGCGGGCAGGATGCGAAGCTGGAAGTTTCCAGTGCCAAGGGGGTGCACATGTTAAAGGAAACTACAGGTGGAGAGTTTAGGGTATATAGGGCTTCTGTAAATAAGGCTTCTAGAAGGTACATAGACCTTCTATAAGGCTCCTAGAACGGGAACTACCCCCCTGAAAATGTCCTAGAACATGGGAAAAGCCGCAAGCCGGAATTACTGACTACGATGTAACAGGCACACAGGCAATCCGCAAAGCAGCGATGGTGACCGTCGCGAGTTCAGTGGCAACGGTGGTCATGGACTTCATAGCACTGCCATCTTTATCGACAGACCCTAAACCCTAAACACTAGAAGTAATGTAGGGGTCTTACTTACTTAGAATAGGGTTTGGGGTATATTATACTATAGTTATAATACTTATAATAAGGAGCCCCCAAAGCGCTATTCTAATTTTTAAGGCCCCTACATTAGCAACCCAGAGGCCCAAAATACAAGTTGAAGCCCTGAGCCCCGGAACCCTAAACCCAGAAACCCTCGGGGTATAGAGAGGGTTAGCGGGGGGATATAGGTTGAGCTAAACCCCAAACCCTCAAACTGGACCTCGCCTCCGTCAGAGTCTTGGCATCATCGGGATCGTTGGGGCAGCACAGGACCGGCTCCTGCACCCATTGCTTTAGGGGTTTAGGGGTAAGGGCGCTTTAGGGTTTAGGGTTTAGGTGCTAGGGTGAGGGGGAGAGCGTGTTTGGGTTTAGGATTTAGGGTTGAGGGCTTGGGGAAGGGTAGGGCTGTAAGGCTTAGGTGTAGGGCTTTGTGAAGACTTTTCAAAAGAGTCGAAGGGGCTATACGAGTGCTTGGGGGCTTTGGCGCTTCGGAGTTTTAGGTTTGTGGGGCGAATTCAGCCATGAAGTTCAGGGTTTTGATGGTTTTAGGGATTGGTGCTGGTGGATGTAAGGCTTAGAGTTTTGTATCGTAGTATAGGGCCCTTAGTGGTTAGGTGGTGCATATTTTTTGGTTGGCACTCGTATCAACGAGCCTCACGGAATATTAAATGCAGTTTGGTAACAGTTCAGGCTTCTATAGCAGTGCTCTCAGGGCTTCAGAGCGTGGGGTATCGGGGTCTAAAGTGTTCGAGCATTGGGCTGTTCTGCGAGCCCGCTAAAACTTCCTGATGCCACGTCTAAACCCTAAACCCCAAGCCCCAAAACCCTGGACTTAAAACGTTAAACACTCTGAACCGTAACCCCGAACCCTAAACCCAAAACCCTGAACTCGGAACCCTAAACCCTAAACCCCGAACCCCAAACCCCACACCCTAAACCCCGAACCCTAAACCCCAAACCCTAGATCTCAAGTCCTCTGAAGGACACCTCCGAAACGTCAACCTCGAAGCTTCAAAACTTTCAGCCGTAAACCACTGAAGTCTACAGCAAAGCACAGTTTAAGGGTTTAGGTTGTATCCAAAGCAGAAAAGCTGACCATCTGTCCCTCTGCGCAGCACAAGTATGACAATGACACACTGAACTGGTGCCATATATGCTGGCACGTGACACTATACCATCATTGCGCCCAAAGCAGACGATGTGACCATCTGAGCGCACTGCACAAGTATGACAATAACCTGCTGAGACTGCCAAAACTGGTCCCCAATCTGCTGGGACGTCACAGAGCCCCAACAAATTACCTCCAAAGCAGACGAGCTGACCATCTGACCGCACTGCACAAATACGAGTAAAGCCCGCTGAGACTGCAAAAACTGGTCCCAAATCTGCTGGGACATCAAACGTCCCATCAATATGGTGTCCAAAGAAGACGAGCTGACCATCTGTCCGAATTGCACAAGTTTGAGCATAACCTGCTGAGACTGCCAAAACTGGTCCCAAATCTGCTGGGACGTCACACTCACCACTGCGATTGAGTCCAAAGCAGACGAGCTGACCATCTGTCCGAATTGCACAAGTATGAGCATCGCCCACTGAGACTGCCAAAACTGGTCCCAAATCTGCTGGGACTTCACACAAGTCTCTGGTACGCGGCCCATCAGTTACAAAATCGGGTCCAAAGCAGGCGAGCTGACCATCTGTCCGAATTGCACAAGTATGAAACTTGCCCACTTTGACTGCCCAAACTGGTCCCAAATCTGCTGGGACGTCACAGAACCCAGAAGTATAGAGTCGACGAGCTGACCATCTGTCCGAATTGCACAAGTATTAGCATAACCTGCTGAGACTGCCGAAACTGTTCCCAAATCTGCTGGGACGTCACACCGCCCATCACCATTGTATCCAAAGTAGACGAGCTGACCATCTGTCCGAATTGCACAAGTATGAGAATTACCTGCTGCAACTGCCGAAACTGGTCCCAAATCTGCTGGGACGTCACACCCCTCCTGTCCGCTGAATACACTCTTCCTCACAACACAGCTGTTGGAAACTCGAACATCTCCGGAACGTGGTGAGAATGTGCAAGTCCGAGTCCGTCTGTTCATTTTTGTTTGGCCGCGGCCCCTCGAAACGTGACTGACCCTGTGTGCGAACGCACCAGGAGCCAGGACGAACCGCAAGAAACGACTGGAATGGCGCCCTTTGTGCCCAAAAGAACAAGGCAAATGCCAGGCCAGCTTTCACGGCCATGGAGAGATGGATGCCGGAAGAAATGCTCCAGTGAAGGTGCGGTTGAAGCTGAAGACGGCATTTAAACAAGTAGCTCATGCTACGCTGCAAGTATCGTTATGGTCGTCTCGACCTTATTCCTAAACCTTATTCCTATCATAGATATCTATACTTAAGAAGACCATTTCCTTTTCTACGGTTAGGGGTTTCCGGTGGGGCATGCTATGGGGTTGAGAAAGCTATTTTCTGTGGGGGTATGCGTGGTTCCATAGTGTGGGTCTTGTCTTGGGGTCTTTTGGAGTTGAAGGTTGTGGTATCGGTTGTTATGATTTTGAGTCTTCAGGCGAGGCTTGGGTTGGGTCTTTTGGTGATTTGGAGTTTGAGGCATAGGTTGTTATAGTTTCGGGTCTTCAGGCGGGTCTTCCTATGGGTCATTCAGTGGATTTAGGGTTTGAGGTATAGGTTGTTATGGTTTGGGTGCTAGGGGGTGGTGCATGGTTAGAAAATGGAAATGGTAGTTACTAACTCCCTAAACCCCGAACCAAACCCAAGACCCTAAACCCTGAACTCGGAACCCTAAACCCTAAACCCTAAACCCTGAACCCCAAACCCTAAACCCCACACCCTAAACCCCGAACCCTAAACCCCAAACCCTAGATCTCAAGTCCTCTGAAGGACACCACCGTAACGTCAACCTCGAAGCTTCAAAACCGTCAGCCGCAAACCACTGAAGTCTACAGCAAAGTACGGTTTAGGGGTTTAGGGGTTTGGGGTTTAGGGGTATAGGGGTTTGAACCCTAAACCCTAAACCCTAAACCGTGGCGGGGTTTGGGGTTTAAGGGACGAGCAAACTCGAACAAGAAGGTTCTCAATAGTCAGAAGAGGGCTTTTGGGAGACATGGATATGGGTAGTTGTCCAAATTAGGGTCCCTTTTGGGGTATCCGAAATAATAGGTGCCGTATTAAAATAAGGACCCAAAGAGGGACCATAATTTTGACAACCACCCAAAGAGTATCGTATAGGTCAGCACAAGTATGCTATAAAAGGATGGAGTTAGTAACTATTCCGACCTCTATTTACTAAATCTTCAACCCCTCAGCTCATAAACTCGATGCCAATTCTGCAGCTGAGTTCTGCTTTCAAAAACAAGTAGAGTTTAGGATGGTTTGGGGTTTAGGGTGGTGCCCATAGAATCTGTTTTGAAGTCCTGTGACGGGCCCTTTCTTTCCGTGCTGTTTAGTATGGCACCTAATGGACAGCCTTGTAAAACTCTTGAAACCCAAGAAACCCTGCAGAACCATTTAAGACTGCTCCTTCAGCTCATCCAGGTTGATGTCGATCACCGCCTCAGGAAGGGCCCGTTCAGACACGGTTTAGGGTTTAGGGGTTTAGGCCTTTAAGCCCAATACCCTGGCCAAAAAAAGTTTAAACTTTTTTGTAATAGGGGCTTAATATACCCCAAAAAGTTTAAAGCTTACCTATTGGGCTCCTAAGTAGGGTTTAGGGTTGCAGTCCAGGGGTTTGGGGCTTCAGAGTGCAGGCTCGTGAGCGCCAGGAGCCCTTGTCTAGAGGCCTCAAAACCTAAGTGCGCGAGGTTTAGGGTTTAGGGTTTAGGGTTTAGGGTTTAGGGTTTAGGGTTTAGGGTTTGGTAGGCATTGGCTTTAGAATGCATGGCTAAGGTTTCTTGAGGGTTTAGAGATCGAATCGGTTTGGAGCTCAGGGTATCTCCTGAAAGCATCCTGACCAGATTTCAGACACAGACTGGCTGCCGCGTGTAGTGACAGAGACACACACACATGCGCACACAGAAGCGCACACACGCACAGGCACACAGACACACAGACACACAGACACACAGACACACAGACACACAGACACACAAACACACAGACACAAACAAACACAAACAAACACAAAAAGAGACAAACAAACAAACAAACAAAAAAACAAACAAACAGACAAACAAAGAAACAAACAAACACACAAACAAACATGCACACACGCACCCACACCTCTGAAAGCCCATAGCATAGCCCTTCTTCATCGCGCAAAGAGAGGCCAAGCGGGTGCCAGGGCCCTGGCAGCGTACTCGGCCTCCTTGTCAGCCTTCGAACCGATTTCGGTTTCGTTCTTGGTTTAGGGTTTAGGGTTTAGTGTTCAGGGTTTAGGGCTTGCGGTTTACCCTAAACCCTAAACCCCTAGACGCCAGTAGGGTGTTGATGTTGTTTGGACGAGTTGGGGGCTGAAGGTGATTTCACAGTGGTCCTTCTTCTCGGTGGCCCTGCAACACCGCGGAAGGTACCATAGGGAGCCGAGTTTGGCACGTTAAGACTCTGGCCTCTTTGAATTCAACTGGTGTTGGGGCAGGAAACTGGGGGGTTGAAATCGAGCTGGATATGCAGATTTGGGACCCTAAACCCTAAACCCCTATCAACTACAATCCGGAAAAAAGTTCGATCCTTGTCATCCCCCAGGTCACCGCACGAAAGGGCCAAGAGTCTAGGGTCTAGGGCGAGGCGTCTAGAGCTATCCCGGCTGCGCCATCCAACTTCCGAGAAACCGATCGACCAAGCAGCTGGCCTGGTTAAAAAACGCTAGCTTTCGTATCCAAGAACGGAATTTTCAAGATTTAAACTACCCTAAACCCTAAGCCCTAAACCCTAAGCCCGTTTTTAAAGAGCCCTTGAAGGGACTATAGGGGCCTGAGCAATAGGAATAGATTTTCTGTTGGGCCCTAGGCTTCCAGAATTTCCCCAACCTTGCGGGCTCCATGCCTAGGGTTTAGGGTTTTGGGTGTCAGGGTTTAGGGTTTAGGGGTTTAGGGACCTTCCTAAACCCTAAACCCTAAACCCTAATTCCGGGCTCCATGCCTCCATCAGGGTGGGGCTCTCCAGCCACTTCTCCATCTTGCTGACGCGGCGGGCCAGGGTCCGGGGATCGCTGTAGCCCTCGGAGATCATCCACTTGAGCAGCCTGCAGCCCCAGTGTTTAGGGTTTAGGGTTATAGAATGTTTTAGAGATTAGGGACTAGGGTTTAGGGTTTAAAGATTAGGGTCTAGGGTTTAGGGTTTAAACCCCTCTAAGCCCCGGCGCCGGCAGGGATTTAGTTCTCGTGGTTGAGATTACACGGCTACTGGAAGGGTGTTACATTCATGATTCCCGACCCCCTCTACCACTTGCAGCAGGGTAATATATAGGGACTTTGATAGCTGGAACAGGGTTCTGGGGTATTTTGGAAAGACAATTCTGGTACGATCCATCAAAAACGCGAATTACCAATCAGTCAGACCTCTAAATTACGTGTAGTAGGTTGCTAGAATGACAAAACTCTGATATGGAGCACGGGGCAGATCTATTCCTGCAGAGTCTTACCTAATGTCTCAAAAGGATCATTGCCTTACACTGTAATGACAACAGGAACACCCAAGGAGCAGCATTCCAAATTGTTTGGCCTTCTGTAGTACATCTTATGCAGATGCTGCAGGCCCTCGCAGGGTTGGAATTGGAACCTTTTGGAACGAATCCCCGACCCTCCAATACTGAACCCCACCCACTCCTGGCACCCCCCCGAACCCCCCTGCTTGTCAACTTGTAAACCAAAGACCCCGGATTGCAACTTGAGCATCACCCAGATCTTGAGCTGGCAGGACACGTAATGTTGGAAGTAAGGTACTCCTTCACGGAGTCCTCTCAATTTCGAGCGGTTTAGGGTTTATAGGAATTCTTTGTCAAGGGTTTAGGATTAAATGTGATGGTTGAGACTAGCAGCTTTGTAGGCCCACAGGACTAGCCCAACATCCCTCCCCAAACCCTAAACCCTAAACCCTAAACCCTAAACCGCTGGATTCTTGTTCTGGGCTGGGGCTTGGGGGGGCGTGAAAGGCGGAGAGGGTCTAGAGTCTGGGGCTTATAAGAGCTCGCCATGAAGGATCGACGGTTTAGGGTTTAGGGTTTAGGATTTAGGATTTAGGGTTTAGGGTTTGGGGTTCAGGGTTTCGGTTCAATAGGGTTTAGAGGTTCTTTGTTGAACTCCTCTTTGGGGCCTGCCCGATCCTCCAAGCAAATCCAAGGCGCATGGGTCTAGTAGGGTTTAGGGTTTCGGGAGTTTCAAGCACATCTTCCTAGCGTGACAACTTGGGCGGTGTTCTGGGCGTTCGGAGTGCAGAGTTTGGGGGGGGGGGGATAGTAGAAGTGGTGGGCTTAGCCCCGGCAAAAAACACCTAATTAGCTGGAAAAACTTTCTACACCCTCGTAAAATCCCTTGGAAACGATTAAACATAAATCAATCCTATAAACCCTTACTAGCCCTAAACCCGCCCACAAACGCACCTCTACACCACATCAAAAGCCTCATTCAGCTAGATGTATGAGAAACCCCCCAAAAGACAACCCCCTACAAAACATCTTCTAAACCCCTAAACTCAACCGCAAAAATCAAAAAAGACAAGCCCTACACCCACCCCCCCACCCCACCTCCGCCCTAAACCCTAAACCCTAAACCCTAGACCCTAAACCCTAGACCCTAAACCCTAAACCCTCAACCCTAAACCCTAAACCCTCCCGATGAAAGCCTCATTCAGCTTGATGGTGCAGCCGGCCGCGGAGCGCTCGGCGGAGGCATCCGAGAGCTCGAAGGCCTGCTCGCACTTCCTCGGCGGCTCGAAGGTTTAGGGTTTAGGGTTTAGGGTTTAGGGTTTAGGGTTTAGGGTTTAAGGTTTAGGGTTTAGGGTCTAGGGTTTAGGGTTTAGGGCTGTAAGGTTCCGAAGAAAAGGCTCGGATTTATGGCTCCTTTAAAGGGGTTCCATTTAGGGCTCCTTTAAAGCGCTCCTTTAAAGGGGTTCCATTTAGGGCTCCTTTAAAGGGCTCCTCTACAGGGGTTCCATTTAGGGCTCCTTTAAAGGGGTTCCATTTAGGGCTCCTTTAAAGGGGTTCGCTTAACGGGGTTCCATTTAGGGCTCCTTTAAAGGGGTTCGCTTAACGGGGTTCCTTACATTTAGGGTTCGGGGATTTAGGGTTTCTATACGGGTTATGATAAAAAGGGCTCCTGATTGGGGGCGAAACGGGGCTTCAATGAGGATTTAGGGTTTTTGTTGGCGCCGGTTCGGCCCGGGCTTTTTGGGACTTCGAGGGTCTAAGGGCTTTAGGTCCGTGTGGAGGGGCTTTAACCCACAGGCCCCATAGTAGTTCCTTTTTGAGATTACCTTATAGGGTTCTAACTATGAACCCCACAAAGGAACTACTATGGTTATGGGGCCTTTGGTTAACCCTAAAGCCTAAACCCTCAATTTTAGACGATGGTTGTAAAATCGTTGACACAGTTCTCGAGGTGTTCTGTAGCATGCAGAGGGCTTTTGGGCATTTGGGGCGTTTAGCGTTTAGGGCATTTGAGGTTCTAGGGTGTGTAGAGTTGTGGAGTATGGTCTTGAGTTTAATCCTCGGGGTTGTGGTTTACTTGATGTCCTTCAACCTCCCAATCTAAGCGACTGAATAGAGGTGTCTGCAAAAAATCACACCAAGACACGATACCCCCTTAAGGTTCCTCATTTTCAGACTTCAACGCCTTAAACACCATCAAACCCTATTCTGGCGGTTGCGGCCCCTACCTGACGCCCGAAAACTAACTGTTAGTTGAGGCCCCTGGAATGAATACATAGCAGTGCTCTCATCTCAGACCCCCTTTTTTACTAAACCTCAAACCCACCAATGCACCCTAAACACGAAACCCTAAACCCCCTAACCCCCAAACCCCTAAGCCCCCAAACCCTAAACCCAAAGCCCCCAAGCCCCCCAAAACCCTGAACCCTAAACATATGCCTAAACCCTCAAACCCTAAACCCTGAACCCTAAACCCCCGAACCCAAAACCCCTAACCCCTAAACTCTAAACCCTAAACCCTAAACCCCTAAACCCTAAACCCCGAAACCCCGAAACCCCGAAACCCCGAAACCCCTGAACCCCCAAACCCTGGCCGCCGCGTCTCAGGTCCGGCAAGCCCTCGATCTCCAGAATGCGGCCGTTGAAGATGTTCTTCCTGGGTTTTTGGGTCGTTCTTCCTGGGTTTTTGGGTTGTTCTTCCTGGGTTCTTGGGTTGAGGGTTGTTCTTCCTGGGTTTTGGGGTTTTGGGGTGTAGGGATGTTCTTCCTGGGCTTTTGGGTTTTAGGGTTTAGGAATGTTCTTCCTGGGTTTTAGGGGTTGGGGTTTAGGGGTTGTAGGGTTTAGGGTTCGGGGTTATAGGGTTTAGGGTGGTGGGTTTTAGGGTTTTAGGGTTTAGGGTTCAGGGTTTTAGGGTTTAGGGTTGTTCTTCCTGGGTTTTAAGGTTTAGGGTTGTTCTTCCTGGGTTTTAGGGTTTAGGGTTGTTCTTCCTGGGCTTTTGGGTTTTAGGGTTTAGAGATGTTCTTCCTGGGTTTTAGGGGTTTTGGGGTTTATGGGTTTAGGGATGTTCTTCCTGGGTTTTAGGGATGTTCTTCCTGGGCTTTTGGGTTTTAGGGTTTAGGGCTGTTCTTCCTGGGCTTTTGGGTTTATGGGTTTAGAGATGTTCTTCCTGGGTTTTTGGGTTTCAGGGTTTAGGGTTGTAGGGTTTAGGGTTCGGGGTTATAGGGTTTAGGGTGGTGGGGTTTAGGGTTTTAGGGTGCAGGATTTAGGGTTTAGGGATGTTCTTCCTGGGCTTTTGGGTTTTTGGGTTTAGGGTTGTTCTTCCTGGGCTTTTGGGTTTTTGGGCTTAGGGCTGTTCTTCCTGGGCTTTTGGGTTTATGGGTTTAGAGATGTTCTTCCTGGATTTTTGGATTTTAGGGTTTTAGGGTTGTTCTTCTTGGGTTTTTGGGTTTTAGGGTTTAGGGTTGTTCTTCCTGGGTTTTAGGGTTTAGGGTTGGTCTTCCTGGGTTTTAGGGTTTAGGGCTGTTCTTCCTGGGTTTTAGGGTTGCTCTTCCTGGGTTTTAGGGTTTAGGGTTGTTCTTGCTGGGTTTTAGGGTTTAGGGCTTTAGGGCTGTTCTTCCTGGGTTTTAGGGTTTAGGGTTGTTCTTCCGGGGTTTTAGGGTTTTAGGGTTGCTCTTCCTGGGTTTTAGGGTTTAGGGTTGTTCTTGCTGGGTTTTAGGGTTTAGGGTTTAGGGTTCTTCTTCCTGGGTTTTAGGGTTTAGCGTTGTTCTTCCTGGGTTTTAGGGTTTTAGGGTTTTGGGCTTAGGGTTGTTCTTCCTGCGTTTTGGGGTGTGGCTTTAGGGTTTAGGGCTTCAGGATTTAGGGTTGTTCTTCCTGGATTTTAGGGTGCAGTGTTCAGGGTTTTACGGTTGTAGGGTTCTGGGTTCAGGGTTTTAGAGTTTAAGGTTTAGGGTTTTAGGGTTTAGGGTTTCGGGTTTAGGCGGACCCTCATCGAGTACCCTAAATAGTAGGATCCTTATTCTAAGGACCCCAAAACAAGGCACCCCTTACTTTCGGAAACTCCCATATAAGTTCCTGGCAGAGGGCTCTTGAAGGTTTCGAGCTATGAGGTTTCGTGGTTTAGGAGTTTAGGGTTTGGTGCGGCTTCGATGTCCAGGGTTTGGATAACAGGGCGTAGAGGGTTTAGTAATTTAGGGCTTGGGGATACAGGACCCCAGCTCGGTAGGTATACGCAGTCTTTCACAGAAGGGCGAGGACCCGAAAAGGCCTACAACCCCAAAGTACGCCAAACGAACTGTACACATAGCAACGTAAGCCCTAAATGCTATCCGCTTAACTCGACAGCACATA